CCTCTGTTTCACGAATACCCGACTGATCCGCAAACCTATGGTATAGACGAGCAGTTTATGTGGGGATCAGTTGTACTCTTTTCGCCGTTTCTGTTTGAAGTAATGAAACAATTTGTATATTAATTTTGAATGATATTTAATTCTGGTATTTGTATAACAGAATCAAACCGAAGTGAATGCATACCTTCCCGACGATGTCTGGTATGAGCCGACAGAAGACTTTGCAAAATTGTATCCCAATAGAGGACACGTAAAACTACCCGATTCTCGACTTTTCCCGCCTTTCCATCTGAGGGGAGGATATATTTTGCCCATCGGTTGTGATAAAGCAATCAATACACAGATGTTGAGAGAAAAACCTATTAATTTAGAGGTCTATCCGAAGAATAAGAGTGCAAAGGGAGACATGTATTGGGACGACGGCGACTCTCTCAACACTATTGAAACAAATCATTATAATTTCTATGAATTTGAATTGTTGTCCAACTGTTCCCTTCATATTGTGGTCAAAACCAAAGGTTATAATTCAGAGAAACCGCAGATAATTGAAAAGGTTTTGATTGCAAACACTTTTAATGCAAAGATTAACGCTTTAGTCGATGGAAAACCCGTTGAAAGTGTTGTATTAAAAGACGATTCGACCAGAATTTCAGTAAATATTGATTTGAATTCCGGAAAAGTGGGACAGAAATGGGTTATCGATTGGAAAACGGCTGACAATACATGTAATTTGAAATAAACATTTTCAAATAGTTTTTTTTTTTGTAAAATCAAATGTATTAAATATTTAGAGAATTAAAATCTTCATGATAAAGATGGTTTGAAATTCTATATTTAGTGTAAATGTAGTTTAATAAATGACAAAAATTGTAATTAGTAAACATTTAATCAAAACTAAATCAATGTATTGCATAATAGCTCATAATTGCGGCACAAATATAACAATATACTGCTGGCATGCATTTTAATGAACCTAACAGTTGTTTTATTTCATTTGAAATCATATTTATTGGGCGTTTTTCTAATCATTATAATGTAAATGTTTTCATACTAAAAACTAGTCATATGTGCGTTACATTATGTAAAAAAGTGTTGCAAATTATAACATTGTACTAATTTAAATAGTTTTTCGGTAATAACCAATAATGACATCAATCGCCCAAATAGTGATACACCAATCGTCAGTATTGATCACATCTGTGGGTATTTTATTGATTACATTTGGTTTAACGGCAATAATAGTGAGACACGAGACAAGTGTGGGAACAGCTATGGTGTCGACCGGCGCCACACTATTCACGTTTGGGTGCATTATATTTGCTTTATATCGACGAAAGTTATTGTCAAATAAACACTTCGAAAGAGTTGTTTAATTATTACTACTTTTTATAATATATTTTGCAATTAGCGATTTTAAATAATAAAATTACTTTATTAATGTTTACCCCATTTTTATATGTTGCATGTTCAAAATTGACAATTTGCACAATTACCTCAACACTACAAAAGTAAATTTCTAGAGAAATAACAATTTTAAAAATGAAATCAATTGCAGGATATTATAAGAAAACAATGAATTGACTAATTGATCAAAAATGATATTTCATGTAATTCTATTGATATGATATAAATGCAAAATTTTGCACATGATCTTTAAATAATTAATATTAGAAATAAATTAAAATTCTTTCAATAAACTTAATATTTGTTATTTATTATATTACATACTTGATTATCAGAAAATTTTTATGATACATTTTATTATTAATTTTGTTGAATATATGTATTAAAATTGTCATTAAATTATGTCAACTGAAACAATATCGACGGCTTATAAATATTTCTTAACTTTTGTTATTTATTTAAGTTATTTCTTTTATGTAAGAATATTTGATTACATATTTATTTGTAAAGAAATTATTAATAATAATTAAAATAATTTAAAT